TGAAGTTGGGTGGGGGAAGCAGAAGGAAGGTGTGCATGTGTGGGATGCCGTGGGGGGGGAGAGAGTCCACATGGCGATGGCGTCGGCCCCTGGCCGTCCCGCACTGGCGTAGCATGGCTGTTGACAAACACTGCTTTTCATGTCAGGAAGACTAATCGAGCCTTAATAAAGGCAGCATGACAAACGTCTGGTCGGTCGTCAGTCAGAAGGAAGAGGAAGCCTCGCTCTGAGGTCCTGCCTGCTGCGAACCCTGTAACCCTTAGCTTAAGGACAAGGCTGGCGATTGTGCAACACATGTGGAATGTTATTGTTTGAAGGACGGTGTCAGAGGGAAAATGTGCCCTGACATAACGTTAACATGTAAGCCCAGTTAACTCAGTGACTCGTTGAACCAACGCACCGAGCGAATCGGACTTTCAGCCACTTAATTATCTGTACGCGTGAAGATCCATAAGCCTGGTACTGTATTCATTGCAGTGTTTTTGTGCGGAACCAATCACCTTCAATCTCAAACAAACTACTGCACGGCGTAATGAATCGCAGCTCTAACGACAGTTTGCGTTGCAATGGCCACTTATCGCATTTTCTCAACTTAACATTTAAGGACTTTACAGACTAATATGAGTAACAGAGCACATATACTGAATTATATATATATATATATATTATATATATATATATATATATATATATACTATATATAACAGGTATAGTGGAGAAAACCTGCTCTGTACACAAAGCGAGCAAGTATAATCCTGCATCGGCTCAACGCGGTGACTCATACGAAAAGCGTTCAGAGCGAATCCAAAGACATGCGAAAAAAACATCGAGAGAGTGTTTGGTAAAGTGTCATCATTTCAAGAGAGGGAGATGAGTCATAAACTAAGTGATTCATCAGCGCTGCGGTAGCCAAAAAAAAATAAAAAATCTGGCTGCCTCGGGAGAGCGGCAAGTCCCGACAGACACAAGAGCATTGTCCACAAGTGAGAGGGCATGTGACCAAATGGCAAATGCCTATGATTACACCAATTACTGTGAGCCTGGCGGTGCCTTAGGCTAAAGACGTAACCGCCATTCATAACAGAGGACACCACAGACTGAACTGACAGAATCTGATTACCTTCGCGACGGCTCCTGGTACCTCAAAAAACACACACAAATACAGACACATTAAAGTAATACGTACTGTATCGAACGCTTAAAAGTTACTACACGATATGATTCATCAGCAGTTCATGATCAACTTTCCCAACCTATGGCTTGTGACCCCGTGACATCACAAATTTCTGGCGATCCAAGATCCCCAAAAGTTTTCTTTTTCTTTTCTAGGTCTAGTCTTTGATCGTGTTTGTTATACCGCGGTTGAAAATACAGAGTAGTCAGATTACTGCACAAGGTGACATTTACTTTCTCTGATCACTTGTCAAGGCTGAAACTCAATACTGCACAAACAATCTCTCTCGACTGCAATCATTTAAACCGGTGAACACGCAGTCACGATTTGAAAGATGGAAAGTGTTACAGTGCTTCCGTTTCAGCCTCAGCCTTTGTCATTGTTGTGTTTTGCGATTCATAATTTGCCCCATCATTCACCACATTCGACGTAATAACCACA